CCTCCCGCCTCTGCTTCAAGGGAAAACGTGTCCTTTCCCTCCTTGCAGCATGCTTTCGGGGGTCATGATTTATTTGGTGCTGATTTGAGTCTCGACCAACTTCCCCACCCTGCAGTGCCGTGTACATCCTGGCACAGGAAGACCCCCCCAGAGGCAGCTGCACTGTCCCTCCCATCATCTTGCAGTGCCAGGCAGCCCCGGCACATATGGCGATGCTCCTCTTGCCATGCAGGCTCCTGCATGTGTACATGGCTTGCTTCCATGTCCCAGGGCCCCAGCTCTGCCCCAGCTCTGGAGCAGGTTCCTTGTGCTCCAGCATTTTATAGCAAACATCTCTGCATTTCCTCTTGCCTCAGCTTTAGATAGAGAACAATGCTCCTGCACGTTCTCGGACATTTATTACCCCTGCATCTTGCTAGATGTCAGGTGTGGGTGACGAGTACAAGTGCTCTCACCAGGCATTGCCTTGCTTCCTGCAGCACTGCTGGGTGCAGCCTGAGCACAGGCAGGGCTTGAGGCCGTTTTGGGCTGAGGACTTATCTGGCACAGTGCTTTTGTGTTCTTCTCATGATCCTTTTCTCCTTGCTCTGCCCCCGAGGTGCCCTGCTGCAGACGTCCTGTCCTTCTTGCTGTATTTCACACAAAGTTCTGGCCCAGGGAGGCCCCATCTCAGCTATTTGCCTTCTCCCCAGGTCCATTTCCCGCCTGCATCCCGGCGCAGCCATGCTGGGCGTAGCAGTGCAGCTCTCAATCCTGCTCGGCCTCTTCGGCTTTGGGAAAGGCCAGATGTTTCACATGGGACCATGCCCAGATCCACCAGTCCAAGAAAACTTCAATATCAACAAGGTGTGAAAAGCTTTCTAAAAATCTCACAGCGGGTAGCAAGTTAGATGAAGTGGACGTGGGACTGATGGCAAACAGCCTGGGTGCGTGGGGGGGGTGGCAGGTCCGGTCTCAATACCTTGTGCTGGAGCTGTCAGTGTGGGTCTGCGGCCCCACTAACCCCCATGGAGGTGGATGCTCGAACAAACCGAGCAGGCAAAACCGTGCCGGCAAACAAGCCAGGCTGCTCTGCCTCAGCCCTCTTGTGCTAAAAATGTCTCTCTGGACTTTCTTCTATCAGTATTTGGGGAAATGGTACGAGATAGAGAAGCTACCCTCAAGTTTCGAGAAAGGAAGCTGCATCCAGGCAAATTACTCATTGAAGGAGAACGGGAAGTTCAAGGTGATCAACAAGGAGCTGCTGTAAGTGTTTGCGTTCAGGCTGTGTCCTCGTTGCAGCAGTGGCACTCCTGTCACCTCTCTTGCCGTCCTGGGTGGTCATTTGTCTCTAAATTGCCTGTTTCTGGGTTTGGGGGTGCTTGGGGGAGGCACCCTGTGGTTGCAGTAGCTCGGCTGGGATAGTGGGCTTTGCTGCGGTTGTGGCAGAGTTGGGGGACTCTGGTTTCTGCCAGTGCTTTCCTGGGGCTCACCAGGTCTCTGTCTTGATTTCCAAGGTGAGTAGTGACAAAATAGATCAAATGCACATGGTGACTCCAGTGTGAAATAGCCTGGGTCTCCCCCTGACTGGTTTGTGATCCCCAGTGATGGCTGAGAAGCCAGGTGCCCCGGGTCCTGTCCCAGGGGCGCCTGGGGGCTGGTTATGGGACGGCAGCCACCACCTTGTGCCCCTGCTTGCTGAGAGGTGCCTCTGCCCTGTGCTCCTCTCTGCTCCGGAGTAAAAGGACCTGATGAAAAGGGGCAGGGAATGTGAAGCACATGGGTCATTTTTACTTAAACAAATATTTGTCAGCCTTTTCCTGGAGCATTTACCTTGCACTGGTAGTAACTGCTGTGTAAGGGGATCGGCAATGGTTGCCAGTTTAAATCAGTGAGCAAAGTGAATGCACTGATTGTTCCCTTTATTATACTCGATAGTTTGCAATTATCCCATGCCCTCCTGGCTTTTTGCATGGACAGATGCAGATATTAATTCATCTGTTTCCATCACCAGCCCCGGCTGTCATGGGGTCCTGCTGTGAGTGGCTGAATGAATGAGAGGGAGCGATCGGCGAACGCAGCGCTGTCCCCTGCGCTCCCTGGCATGGCATGGGGACTTTGTTCTGGCTGACAATAACAACAACGTACCAACACATCCCTTGTGTCTGGCAGAGAGCAGCGTCCATGCCGCTCCCTGACTGCGCAGCACCCTCTCTGCAGCTCCACTTCTACGGCAGCACCTGGCAAACAGCTGGCCATTGGCAAAAACAGCTGGCCATTTATTTGCATCTGCATTAATCTGCCGGAGATTAATCTGACTGTTGGTGTCACCACTGCAGCAGCTCAGGACCCTGAAATGTCAGGAATATTTTGGGTCAGGTGTGCACTGCGCATCAGCCCCTTGACCCCTGCTGCTGGCAGCATTAACTTCTGACTCCTTGGGTGTTCCTGTTTCACAGGGAAGCGTGAAACTTTCCTGTCCCACAGGCAGCGTCCAGATCTTGAAGCATCCAGGGAAAAATGCCATTATAAGACAGGCAGCCTGAGTCGTAGGGCTTGCTGCCAGCAGGGCAGTGCTTGGAACCAGCAGTGAAACAAACCCTGGTTCACCAAGCAGGGACAGGTAATTTGTGTGCAGAAGAATGTGCCATGACCTGGAAAAAACGCAGGTGATTAAACAGATGTGAGCACATGCCTTCCACAGCTAGCAGAAGTTGAGCTGCTCCCTGGCACATCCGAAGATCAGTGCTGTGATCCTCCCATCCTGTGCAGAGGGTCTTGCTCTCCTTCTTCTCTGTCACCATCCCCTCAGTACCAAAGTACACCCCGCTGGCAGGGGCACTTGGAGAGAGGCACCCTGGGGTGCTGGGGTGGTTTAACTTGGGAGAGCATTTGCCC